AATTGGGTTTTGACGACCATGTCGTCTACATAACACTCTATTTTTCTGCCAATTAATGGCTCAAATAGTTTATTTACAAGCCTTTGAAAGGTTGCCCCAGCATTTTTCAATCCGAAGGGCATAACCTTGTAACAATACAGACCAAACTCTGTTATGAAGGCAGTTTTTTCTTCGTCCGCCGGGTTCATCCTGATCTGGTTAGAGCCCGAATAGGCATCTAAGAAACTCAGCAACTCGTGCCCCAAGGTCGCGTCCACTAGGCGGTCAATTCTGGGGAGGGAGAAGCAGTCTTTTGGGCAGGCTTGGTTCAGGTCAGTGTAGTCGACGCACATGCGCCACCTACCGTTAGCCTTCTTTACCAGAACGGGGTTGGCTACCCAGCTCGGGTAATGAACTTCCCTTATGAAGTCGGTTGYGAGGAGCTTCGCGACCTCCTCGTCGACTGCTTTCCATCGCTCTAGGGCTAGGTTGCGTTTCTTCTGTCTAACGGGCCTAACTACAAGATCAGTATTGAGTTTGTAAGTTATGAGATTAGGGTCTATGCCGGGCACCTCTGCCGCGAACCATGCAAAAACATCTAAATTTTGAAGTAAGAAACTTACTAGTTCGGATCGCAAGGGCTCCTGGACTGAAACTCCGATATGATGTGTCCGAGATGGGTCTCCCGCTGAAGTTGGAATAGCAACTGTTTCTTCCGTAGTTGCAGCTCGTTCTTCACCTTGCTCCGTAGGTCGCTCCAGTTCGAGATTGTCAGCCACCTTCGTCTTTCCCTTGAGGGTGGCAACATAGCACTTGCGAGACTCAAACTGGTCGCCCCGTCCTACCCCCACTTCGAAGTCCATAGGGAACTTCATTGCCAAGTAATAAGTGGAAACCACCGCCCGTAGGGCATGGGTGATCGGTCAGCCTATTATGGCATTGTACGGGGAGGGGGTCGCGACCACTAAGAAGTCATGGTTGAGCCTTACTACGTTGGGCCATGCGCCGACTTCCACAAGTACTGTTATTTTCCCCAGGGGCCTGACTTCTTCTTCACTGATGCCTACTAAGGGAGTATTCGCGGGCTTCAAGTCACTTCCCTACAGCTGAAGCTGGTCGAACGCGGCTTTGAAGAGGATATCCGCCGAGCTGTCTGAGTCAACGAGGATGCACCTGACCTCGAAATCATTGATCCTTACTTTTATGACGAGTGCGTCATCGTGGGGGTAGTGAACCCCGTGCGCATCGTCCTCCGTGAAGAAGATCGGTTCCTCTGTCTTAGGCCGCTTAGGAGGATTCTGCTCTTCTCTGGAAGCTTCACGAACTGATGTCCGAGTTGTCGCCGAGGTACAACCCGCAACGATCGAGCCTCCAACTATCATGTGGATGGTGCCCCGAACTGGCCTCTCTTCCGGGGGTTGCCTCTACGACTGCTCTACCGGCCTGTTGCTGGACTCGGGAACATCCTTACCGTGCTCTCCTTGCTGACCTGCTTTATTATTATTATTATTATTTTGTACAAAATTCCTTAGATATCCGCGACGAATGAGTTCCTCTATCTCATCGCGGAGATTCTTACAGTTCTTGGTACTATGACCGTGGTCTCTGTGAAAGCTGCAATATAAATTTTTATTCCTTTCATTATGATTCCCCCTCAGGCGGGGTGGCCACTTCACGTACGGGGCATCCTTGATTGCCATCAGGATTTTGGCCCGCTTAGCATTCAGTGGGGTGTAGTCAGTTCGGCCTGCTACAGGGGCTTGGAATGGCTGACTCAGCTTTGCCCCCTGAGCTAAGTACTTCTTCCGGCTATCTCCTTGGCTGGAAGGTTCCCCTTCTCTTTTTCTCTTTTCGGGCGCGCTTTCGCCCTTCTGGTTGATCTCCTCTTCTGTGGCTATGAACCTGTTTGCGAGCTTGAGGAATTCAGTTATGGTCGCCGGATGATTGACAACCATGTGCTACTTGAATTCATTGTGCGTCACGCCCTTCTTGGCTGCTGCAAGGCGCACTGCGAGGTCTAGGCGCGGTATCTGCATGCATGCATCGTTGAACCGGTTGATATAGCCCCGGATGGACTCTCCCTCTCTCTGGACTATACTGAGAAGGCTTTCCTCAGTTCGCGGACACCGCTTGCTGGTGACGAAGTGGGACGTGAAGGCTTGTGCGAACTATGCCCAGCTTCTTATCGATCCGGGTGCATGGTTCCGATACCACGTGCGGGCCGCTCCTCTGAAAGTGGTGGAGAAAGCCACGCACATGCAAGACTCACTGGCCCTTTCCAGGTGCATTTGTGACTAGAAAGCATCTACATGATCATTCGGGTCGAACGACCTGTCATACTTATCAAGAGGGGGAAGTTTGAAGTCCTTGGGCATTGGAGCGGCCAGGAGCTCGGGAGACAGGGGGGATGGAACGGAAAGTAGAGGAGCTTTTACTTCACCCGAGCTTACCTCTTTCTTGCTTCTGAGTTCGGGCAGGTCGCAGGTGGCAGTT